TCTCTTGCGTGCCAAAGGGAATTAACAGCCTTCATAGTCACATACACATCATCAAGAATCTTCAACATATCGCAGAGTGATACACAGACATGGGAACGCTCTCTACCAATGAGGTGTTTTGCTAAATATCTCACTGTTCCAGACCCCCCTCCTTTTCCTGTAACTGGAGCCAGAGTCTGATGAAGACAGATTAAACTGTTTACCAAAGTTTCTTCGCCCAGCACACACTAAGGACTGGACTGTTTTTATCTGGCCAGACATTATGTAGCCAGAGAACTTGGCAGGACAAGTTTCTTTCCCTTGGAAACTATTCTAATATTTCGAAACGCAGATGTGCACATTCAGACAACAACAAGACCTAAATAAACTATCAATATTATAAGGTTTATACCCTTTTCACCTCCAGTATGATTTAATCTCACAAAAACAAAACCTGAGAGTCAAAACATATGTAGTCGATTTAAGATGCAAATGCTTGCTGTAAGCTAACCAAACAAAGAAAAAAATTGATTTTCTTTAAAGGTTTTTCACACATCTTCATCAAGGGTACGAACATATCTTTTCAACCCTCTGAGACTAAACATCTTAACTTACCAGGGTCATCCACTGTAACTGTGATTTTCTGAGGCTGGTTGTTATTTTGCTCCTTAAGCTGATGCAGTTGGAGAGTTTCTGAATTTAACGAAAAACAAAATGAAATATAATTCAACTGGAAATTTGATTACAAAAATAAAACATTGATATCTTCAAACATCATACCTGCTTCATCCTCATCTTTACTTCCTAGAACAGGCTCTTGGTTAAATCTGCTGCAGCTCATCAACTGTGGCTGATCCTGGATCAAACTGGCGGCTTCGATGCTCTGTCTTCTTAGTAACTCGGTTGAACAACTCTTCTCTGTGCTTTTTAGGATGGTCTCTGATTCTAAAGATAGTGAAATATTACACAGCGCTCAACAACACCTTTACCTTTACGCATGGTGAAATTTGCATCAATACATCTGGCATTCGGATCAGTTATTTCTATATTATGCGTCATGAATTCATTTTTACAGAAAGACAGCCAAAGTTAACCTAAAACCCTTTAGGATATTAAAAATACACCAATCATAACTCAATACTGCTTTAAAATTCCTCACCTCCAGTATAAAGAGAAGTTACACTTTTATTAAATGGAAAAATCAAGTATATGAAATGAATGTCCAGCTGCACTTTGATAACACAGAAAACAGAGAGGTTCAGCTCTCTGACTACTTTTCCACATTTTGCAGTTTCGAAAGATTTGAAAAGCTTGAACAAATTACCATTGTTTTGTTGACTATGATGAACTTACATAAACATGACAATAGCGCTATTATCATCTAAGGAAGGCAGATTTATGTGACGGTTGGACAGAAAAAAATCTAAGAAGTGAACTTTTATGGATTGATTCATAAATACTCTTGTTCAGCTTTTAATTAGACTGGGCTGCTGTGGCTCATTTTTTGTTTAAATACACCAAATGCAAAAGATTCAAATATAGAGTCTGTGGTCACTAACTGGAGAATGAAAACCCTCAGCTGTTTACCCTATTGGGTTTGAACATTGTTTATCAAAACAATCAGTGATGGCATAAAGTTACAATATGAATACATAAGGAAAAAATAAGAAAGAAAATGAAAGATTTACCAGAAGTTTGAAGAGCGGTTGTAACTTCAACATGAGGTGGAGACTTGGCATCTGAAAACTGTTCTTCTTGGGCAATATCTACATAGAAGACAGGAAAAGTTGCTTAACTGTCCCATTTCCCAAATTGAAAAGAGTCCCGACAGATCTTAGTATTTAATAAAAAAAATAAAATACTAACATTCAAAGCAAACCTTACTAAGTTTTTATCAATATTCTTGGTGTGTCCATATCAAGTCCAATATTGTACAAATATAACTGTTCAACATACATCTATAGCAGATATTTCTAAAGCTCAGGAGCTAAATGTCATGGGTGCTGTGGCCTTCCAGGACTTTCAGCAACCGTTCCAACCGCTCTTCAGTTTCCTCAGTGGTCTTTGGATAGGTGGGGGTTTCTGTTTAGTTTTTATACTCCTAATCAATATATTAACAGCCTCCTCTTTGTCCAGATAGCATTGTCGCTCATGGAACCTCCTCTGCACCATGGGTGCCCAGCTGGTGTATCCATCCCCCAGCAGCAGGAAGTCAAGGAGGAAGTCCTTAGTTGGAGACACAGAAGGCTTTGTGCCATCCTCCATCTTTAGCTGTATGCTTCCCATTGTCTCTCCTTTGTGCCTAAGGGCAGGGATGAGTGCACTCATTCCTCTAACTTTTCTCTTAGTGTTTATTTCAGATAACCTGGTTGACGGCCTCGAGTTGACCAATGGCAGTGTTTCTCTTTTGCACCGTCTCTGGTTGTGGTTTATGAAAAGCTTTATTTCCAATCAGCCCTAACAAGGACTTCTACACTCTGAGAGGTCACTATTCGGGCGCCCCCTTGTTGTTGCCTCTCCTGTGCTTAGCACAGCTTACCAACCTGGGAACCTAGTAGTATTACCACATATAGGAACCCTGTGAAATCCACCTGGCTGGGCAAACAGAAAAAGTTGCCCTTCTAGCTGTCTCTTTTCAGGAGCAACATCCTTTTCTAAGGAGTGGGTAGGGTTTACTAGTAACCAGGATACTACCCTTCCCAAGGGTCTCTCTCATTCATGACAGCATTATGTTCTTATACAACCACTTTAGGAATTTGGTCAATAAAGTTTTAGTAATCATCCAGTCACTAGGATGCCGTTTGATCAAACTTTGGCTGCCCAATTATAGACAGCCCTTTTTTTTTTTTAAAAAGGCCTTCTCTGCATCATACAATTATTCAGGCGCTGTGCTGGCTTTGAAATGATGTATTGACCTTAAAGGAAATCACGTGATTCTGTCACAGTATTCTCATGAGATGCTACAGCCCCCACTTTCCTTCCCCCTTTGTTTCCCCTGATTGGCCTCCTTTGTTCTCTATTCTTGTCTCTCCAACTGATTATATTCCTCTTAAAAGATTACAAAAACTGATGACAGGTTCAGAGATCTTCAAAAGATGAGGTACCCCACTACAGGCTTTTAAGTGCCTTAGAAAGATCACATAGCTTGACTACACTCGAAGAAATGCATATTAACTTTACATGCATGGTTCTGCATTTCTTCTAAAATACCCTTTATGCTTTTTATAGATTATACTTTTGACTCAAAACACTGGGCACCAATTATTGCCCTTTTATAATTATCTGCAAATTTCAGCTTAAAAAAATTATCCTTTTATGTGCATATTCAAGAAAAACCTGGAATAAAGCTGGTTTCCAATTAGGCAGTATGAAAATAAATATGTGTAACTTAATTCCCGTCTCAACGAGATTTGTATTCAATCAGGATTGAGTTATCCGTGTGGAATTAGACAGTTTAATCAGAGGTAATATAATAATTTGCTGAACTATATAGTCTTATGTAATACAAAGTGATTGTAACTAAAATGATCTCTGTAACCTTAGTGTGCTTAAGAAAGGAGTTTTTCTGCTTTGATGATAAATAACTCCAAGTGAGGAGGGAGGACGTTTTTCTCTCGTGAACAACTCTTTGTTAGGAGCGGAAAAACGAGGCTGAGAGTATCCAGAAGAACATACCAAAGATGCAACGAGAGTTTGTTTAAACATGAAGTACAAGTGAGATTGCAAATCCTTAGATCACACTAAGGTGGCAGTGATTGTTCTATTGCTCTGTGATCGCCAAAGATGTCCTTGTATTGGATTTTTATCCTGTTTTCATTTAAAGGTTCAGTTGTTTAGCATCCAGTGACTCTATTTACCTTTTTTTCCTCTTATCAATGGACTCAAGGAGGAACCCCACAGGGGGATCAGAGGTGATACTTAACATCTTACAATACATAAAGAGACTTGTAATTTGCTTGGAAAACTTAGCAATACACTTAGGGAACCATCTTTATGGAAGAAATATCTAAAAAAGAACCAAAAAAAAAAGTTTCTCCTTCCTGGAAATTCCTCCAGTCAAATTCCACTTTTTCTGCCTACATACCAGCCATGTCTTCAGCTTGAGTCCACTGATCTGGATCGGTTTCCATTAAAGTCTCAGCCTCCTCCTCAATCTCCTCATCTACTTGGATGTCTTCTTCATCCGAGCTGCTCCCTCTAACTGAATGACCACCGGCCACAGCTGGATCATCTTCATGGTTATACTCCATTTCTAAGACAAAAACCAAAGACTTTTATCACTCACACGAAACTTCCAGTAAACTCAGTAATCAAATTATTTGATATCTGAAGTTGTGGAGAAACTGACAGAGGTGATTCTTGCAAGAAAGGGTAAAACGTATCTTACGTCCGCAGACAGAGAGACACAGCTTTGACAGGGGCAAGCCCAGCACACACATTTATCCATCCATCCATCCATTTTCTTTACACGCTTAATCCCAAGTGGGGTCGCGAGGGGTGCTAGTGCCTATCTCCAGCTGTCTACGGGCGAAAGGCGGGGTACACCCTGGACAGGTCGCCAGTCCATCGCAGGGCAACACAGAGACAAATAACTATTCACACACACACACCTAGGGACAATTTAGAGAACCCAATTAACCTTACGGTCATGTTTTTGGTCTGTGGGAGGAAGCCAGAGTACCCGGAGAGAACCCACGCATTCTCAGAGAGAACATGCAAACTCCATGCAGAAAGAACCTGGGCTGGGAATCGAACCCAGAACCTTCTTGCTGCAAGGCAGCAGTGCTCACACACATTTATAGTGTACAAATTTAAACACGCTCTCTCCCCCTTGGAACCATCGCACCCCTGCATAAAGAAGTTTCTCACACTTGAACATTGGAGCAAAACAGCTTCAGTTATTCAAGGACATAGATTTTCATTAGCCAGATAAACACTTCAGAACAGGTTTCTTGTGTTCATGGTATGAGGGAGGCTGTGTGAACTCATTCTTTATCTCTCATGACCCTCCCATCACCATTGAGTAGAGTGAGGAGGCAACTGCTTTCTGTCACTCCTTCCTTAAACATTCCAGCATAGAGACTGGTACAAGACTCTACAATCACTTATATTTAGGCTGAAAAAAGGCACACTCAAAGTATTTCATCTCAAAATTAGGCTAAGGAAAAACATGCTTTCACATATCTCACCAGTCATCTCCTCCTGCCGTTGATGTTGTGGTTGGTTATGATCAGCAGAGTCTGACATGTCATCGTGAAATGCAGGGATCCCTAAGAGTTAAAATGTGGTTCACTGATTATTGCTCATTGTTCTGTAAAATATAAAAGACTCAAACATCTATATAAACATTATCTCATGGATAAGGGATGTTTCCTGGTTAAACAGTATGAGGTCATTTTTCTGCAGTATGATAGGATGTTGTGAGAAACTACTAATGAAGAGAACAATCACCTGAGCTTGAAACGTCACATGGACTGGAAATGTCTTGGCAAGGATGCAGCGTGCTGTCAACTGTGGGGGAAGACGAGGCCTGCAGGTCCCTTTGTTTCACCAATGCTTTCACTTTTTCTACAGCTGAGCAGGAGAAGCCAAAATAAAACACAGCAAAAATGGGAAACCAAGAATGAATAAAAGATAAACATTTTCGACGCATGGAAAAACATTTTTTTTTCTGCTAAACACCACATCAACTATCTCTTAAAAGAATCAACAGGAAAAAACTCAACTTGGATAAAAAAAAATAAATAAAAAGATTTTAACAATATAAAACATGAAAATAAAGCAAGATTTTAGGAGATGCGTCATAATATTTTATAGTTTGAAAAATAATTTCAAATCAAATCATCTTTACCCAAGTTGTCAGGAAGATTTCCCAGTTTCTGGTATTCATCCTTTTTCACCTCCAGTCTCTAAGAAAAAAAAAAAAAAATCCAAACAAAAGCCATGAAGTGTTTATAAAACCTTTAATCATAAATGTTTTGTTTGCACAAAATAGACAAATAATTTGAAAACCTTTGAATAAAAAACTTAATTTAAGGTAAATTTAAAAAAGGGCATTAAAAGGAGATATAATGAGGAAAATTATATTTGATAAACTACACAGAGCATAAATATCAAAATATTAAAACATAAGAAATAGGTTATGGTATGGTTGATGGATCAGTAATTTAAGATCCATCTATTTTTTCTTATATTTGGCAGCCCTATTCATCCATTGGGTTCACTGCTGCATGTGTTAAGGTTAAATAAAAAAGAAAATTGTTTAAAGGAAAGATAAAAATGACAAAAAGAAATAAAAAAGGGCTGTCTAACTGTCTATGTTTCAATCACGGAAAATCCACATAGATATCAGTCAGCTCTTGGAAAAGTATCCAGAAATATTAAAAAACAAAAACTATTTTAAGTCATGTTGAACTGAAAACCACCAAAAGTGGAAATGTTAATTACAAGAGAGAAATTAAGGTAGGAGGTTTTTCCAGTTTTTTTTTTCCGTTTTCTAAATGTAACGAAGCAGATTCAGATTAGCAGCATACCTGAATGCTCCGAGTTTGAGGCAGTTTTTTCTCCACTTCAGCCGACAGAGTAACGGTCTGAATTAACTGTTTCTCCAGCTCCTTCACTGACCATTCAGGATACTTCACTTTCTAAA